TTTTAAATAGAATCAATAGCAGGGTTGGCAGCAGTTGTAACAACAGTAGTTTGCTCTCCCCACCATCTGCAGAGTGGTTCTGTTTTGTAAAACGAAATTGGTAACTTGAACAAGGCTTAACGCCTATCCCCTCCATAACAGTGACACCAGTAGGTGTGGATCTTGAGACCAAAATCCAGGTCCCCCATTTTCAGAGGAGGGAGACAAATATCCTGGCTCTCTCATTCCCTCTCTGGCCCTGAATTAAGACAACTACTTAAAAAGCACAAGAAAAAGGGAACAAAATGACATATGCTAATTTGCATTCATAGATGCACATTTAGAAATAATTATGATACCTTATGCAAAAATACTAGTCCCATTCTTCCATGCCGATCTGTTCAGCATTGGGCAGCAGGGCATATTTGTGGTCTTCCAGGCTGATGGGAGTTAGCCTTCCAGATGCCGCACATTCCTATTTAAGGACTGGCTGGCTGATACTGCTCTCTCTCTCTCTCCATTGACCACCCTCACTCCTTGATGATCAATGTGATTCTTTGGTCACTTCGGGGCAAGTAGGAACATCGGACCCTCCCACTGGGAGTTGGATTTTTCACCTATTCCATGCTGAATAGCCAATAGGGTTAGTGGGCTGCTGTTTGTGAATAGGTTGATTTGGCTACTTTTGGTGGTTAAGTATGGGGAGGGGAATTAAGGAGATCTCAGCATGGTAACCTGCTTCAGGGTAAGGAGTGTTGGGATATGACTACTTGTTGTTGTTGTTTAGTCGTGTCTGACTCTTCGTGGCCCCATGGACCAGAGCACGCCAGGCACTCCTGTCTTCCACTGCCTCCCACAGCTTGGTCAGACTCATGTTTGTAGCTTGGAAAACACTGTCCAACCATCTTGTCCTCTGTCGTCCCCTTCTCCTTGTGCCCTCCATCTTTCCCAACATCAGGGTCTTTTCCAGGGAGTCTTCTCTTCTCATGAGGTGGCCAAAGTATTGGAGCCTCAGCTTCAGGATCTGTCCTTCCAGTGAGCACTCAGGGCTGATTTCCTTAAGAATGGATACGTTTGATCTTCTTGCAGTCCATGGGACTCTCAAGAGTCTCCTCCAGCACCATAACTCAAAAGCATCAATTCTTCGGCGATCAGCCTTCTTTATGGTCCAGCTCTCACTTCCATACATCACTACTGGGAAGACCATGGCTTCAACTATACGGACCTTTGTTGGTAAGGTGATGTCTCTGCTTTTTAAGATGCTGTCTAGGTTTGCCATTGCCTTTCTCCCAAGGAGCAGGCATCTTTTAATTTCGTGACTGCTGTCACCATCTGCAGTGATCATAGAGCCCAAGAAAGTAAAATCTCTCACTGCCTCCATTTCTTCCCCTTCTATTTGCCAGGAGGTGATGGGACCAGTGGCCATGATCTTCGTTTTTTGATGTTGAGCTTCAGACCATATTTTGCGCTCTCCTCTTTCACCCTCATTAAAAGGTTCTTTAATTCCTCCTCACTTTCTGCCATCAAGGTTGTGTCATCTGCATATCTGAGGTTGTTGATATTTCTTCCGGCGATCTTAATTCCGGCTTGGGATTCATCCAGCCCAGCCTTTCGCATGATGAATTCTGCATATAAGTTAAATAAGCAGGGGGACAATATACAGCCTTGTCGTACTCCTTTCCCAATTTTGAACCAATCAGTTGTTCCATAGCCAGTTCTAACTGTAGCTTCTTGTCCCACATAGAGATTTCTCAGGAGACAGATGAGGTGATCAGGCACTCCCATTTCTTTAAGAACTTGCCATAGTTTGCTGTGGTTGACACAGTCAAAGGCTTTTGCATAGTCAATGAAGCAGAAGTAGATGTCTTTCTGGAACTCTCTAGCTTTCTCCATAATCCAATGCATGTTTGCAATTTGGTCCCTGGTTCCTCTGCCTCTTCTAAATCCAGCTTGCACTTCTGGGAGTTCTCGGTCCACATACTGCTTAAGCCTGCCTTGTAGAATTTTAAGCATAACCTTGCTAGCGTGTGAAATGAGTGCAATTGTGTGGTAGTTGGAGCATTCTTTGGCACTTCCCTTCTTTGGGATTGGGATGTAGACTGATCTTCTCCAATCCTCTGGCTACTGCTGAGTTTTCCAAATTTGCTGGCATATTGAGTGTAGCTGGAATATCATCACTTCCATTGGCCTTGTTATTTGCAGTGCTTTCTAAGGCCCATTTGACTTCCCTCTCCAGGATGTCTGGCTCAAGGTCAGCAACCACACTACCTGGGGTATACGAGATATCCATTCCTTTCTGGTATAGTTCCTCTGTGTATTCTTGCCACCTCTTCTTGATGTCTTCTGCTTCTGTTAGGTCCTTTCCACTTTTGTCTTTTATTATGACTACTACGCAGCTGCAAACAAGCAGTTCGGTGTTTACATCACATGATGTGGCTAGCCGTGGGAAAGAATGTTCACAGCAGTTCACAGGATTCACAAGGATTTGTTCTGTGTGTAATATGAGACCTTCCTGTTGCATATGTGAAGGAAGTCTGAGTCACTTGCTCGGAGGAGCCTGAACTGATCGGACATGTTTTTTGTAGAGTTGTACAGTCAGAAATAAACAAGATGTAAAAGACTTTCTGACTATCTTCTTTCCCCTGCTGGTATGCAAGGAAGAAGGGGGTGTGCATCTTCCACGCTGGGAGATGTTGCCTATCAATATTTTCCTGGACTGCGGGGATGTCAGCCAGGGTAGATTACCGGTAAACAAGCCCCGGGAGCAGGGAGAGGGGCCAGCCTGTCCCAAGGGGGCATGTTTTCCACCAAGGAGCAATGCCCCCAAGGTTGGCTTGTGGGACTAAAGGGCTTTGGGGACCACCTCTGAGGCCAACTGCTCCTGGAGCCCAGAGACCCTGGAGGGCTGGTGATGCTGGAAAAGCTTACTTAACTCACCTGAGGCCTGAGGAAGGGGGTGGGCAGTACTGCCATACCTCCATTTTCACAGGCAGGGTTTGGTCACCCTATTGGGTGCAGGCTTTGCCTGGTGTTTTCGACATATTCTTGCACCTATAGGTCCCCCCCCAATGTATTTATTTCAAATTTAGTAACCTAATGTGTCCAACTCTTCATTTGTCCACCAGGTTACAATCTGTATCGTCATAGTGTGGGAGAGGGTGATCTGCATGTCTTTTTTAAAAATAATAATAATAATTTTTATTTGATTTTACAAATCCATTCACACAAATAGTATTATCACAAATATTAAACTTTACCCAAGATTCTTCTGAATCTCAAGACTTCCCTCCTCCCCTCCGTGGATTCTTTAAGTAACTATTTAAATTGCATATTATAAATCTATCTAGTTTATCGTTCTCCATTGTATCCAAAGTCTATGCGTCATTGCAAGAGTTATCTGAAGCCTGCCAAAGAGTTCAAGTGTTTGCAGTAGTCTTTGTCCCATTTGTCCCATTCTTTGTTGAATTGAATTGACTTTATTACGGTCCCAGACCAGACTCACATACCATACTAAACAGATCAGAATCACAATAAAATTAAGTTTAAATTAACAGTCAAAATAATGATAAATAATACAATTATGGCAGCAGTTAAAATATGGTTTAAGTCTTTATTGTTACAATATTATCAATAATTTGATTCTAAGGCCTTAGTCTTTATAATAGCACAGCTTGTTCCCTAAGTTTTATGGCAACCACACAAATTTTGGCCACGTTTAACATGATCTCTGGATCCTTGTCCTCTATCAGAGATTTTAAACACTGAGGTTCAGGCCCACTTGGATATTTCTGTATAACAGGGGTGCTAAGAACCGAGTGTATATCCCTGTAAAAATGGCATCATAGCAGGACGTGAGAGATGGTTTCCACCTCTATTGCGCTGCAGGGGCAAACTTGTTCCACGTACAGTTTACCTGTGTATGTGCCCTGCAACAAGGTGGACGGGAGTACATTGAATCTAGCGAGGGTAAACGGCCGTCTATATTTAGGTATTATTCTTTGTTGAAGTTTTGATCCTCCTGATTTCTGATTTTCCTGGTTAATTTTGCCATCTCTGAATAGTCCAATAGTTTCATCTGCCAGTGCACCCTATCTTGTCATCTTTCCATCTCTGGGCAAGAAGCATCCTTGCAGCTGTTGTAGCGTACATAAATGGTCTTTTCAGTTCATTCGGTATCTCTGCACCTACAATTCCTAACCAAAAGGCTTCTGGTTATTTAACAAATGTTATTTTAAACATTTTTTTTTCCAATTCATTGTATGTCGTTTCCCAGAATTCCTTTATCACTTTACAGTTCCACCACATGTGTTAAAAGGTGCCTTCCTAAGCTGCATGTCTAGGAAGTCTGCTGTCCAAGTGCTGATGGGCAGCTTCAACACCCTCTTCTGCTCTCCCTTCTTGAAGTTCTTTGAGCTGGACTTGAACCAGACACAAAGCATGATTTCATATAGAGAAATGTTCTCTGTTTACTAAAACTTATGACCACCCAAAGGTGGGCCACCCAGGCTACTGGTGCTGCTACTAGCTCACTTGGATTTTTAAAGCACAAGGGGGGGGGGATGCAGTTTAAAATCCAGCTGCATTTCCTCAAGTGGCAGTTTTACTGAGATCCTGGAGGTTGTCACAGCAGCAGCCCAGGTGACAATTTGCTCCCATCTTGCAAACAGAGCTGTGATGAAGTGGGAAAAGACCTACATTACGTAGCATACTTTCCTTCTAACTTCCTGGAAAGAGGACCATTTTCAAATTGGCTGTGGGCTGTCTGGGCTGCTGCTGATCCTGACACTGGAGAAAAGTGTGGCTGGGTGATGTCAAGCAGGCAAGCAAGTGGTGGTTGTGATGATGTTGGGAAGGAACAGTGGTAGTGGGAAGAGTGGTCAAGGTAACAAGCTCTCCCCCAAAGAGAGCAACTTACCTAGGGTCTCCTCAAATCCAGGGGCAAATCCAGGGGAAGAAACACATGGGATCATAGAATTGTAAAGTTGGAAGGGACCGCGAGAGTCATCTATGCAAGAACCTTTTGCCCAATGTGGGGTTTGAACCCACAATCCTGAGGGTAAGAGTCCTATGCTCTACCACTTGAGCAATCCCAGTTTACCAAACATTTCCCTCAATCTCGGTATCTTTAGTCAATATCGGTTCCTAGCGCACACACCCCCCCTCACCAATACTTGAATCCCTGTCCCTTCCTAGCCCAGGAGCCTTGCTCAAGCTACCTTGTTGAGAAGCGAGGCTATTTTTGTAGAAAACGAGGTGCCTGAACTCACAATGAATGCTTCCCTCATTTCCTTAGAATGGCAATGGAAACCAGCTGAGAGATGTCGGAACTGAGTTCCGGTGAGTTCAGACTGATAAAAAACCCTGTTGAGAAGTAGCCCTTTTGTACAACATACAGATTGCATCTCTCATTCAGTTTCCAGGACCTGAAAGCTCCTATGAGATAAGGAAGCTTGAAGTGTAAACGGATCACTGAACCAGGGCAAAAAGCAAGCAACATGACTCAACACGATGAGTCAGCAGAAAGCTTTCCTTCCTTCCTTCCTTCCTTCCTTCCTCCCTTCCTTCCTTCCTTCCTTCCTTTTCAATAAGCCATTTACATTTCACAGCAGTTTCTGCTGTGCTCTGCTCTCTTACCAATATTATTTCACTTTTATTAACCCAGGGATTCTAGTTCTTGCTTGCAGAGAGAATAGATTTTCTTTTTTTCCCCCTTTCATGTTTTACTCACTTTTCATTGCAGCCATCAGCAGATTCACATGCTTCAGAACTGGCGGATTGCAAGAAAATACCTTATTTAATTGTTTTCAGTTACTCTAAATGGGGTCTTTAAAATTCGTGTTTTATTTGTACTTGTGATATGTTCAGGGTGTTGTAAACTGCTGAGAGATTTATTTGAAATATGAAAGCCGTATATAACTTACATTCTTATTAATATCTTATTGCACTGGTCTATGATTATAGTACTGGCAATGCATTTATATATTTAACATTGTCAGCATGGTTAATAATACAATAAATTAATAACAGTTATTATTATAATTATAATTGGGTTCTATGTTATAACATTGTATAACAACCTGCTTGTCAATGATATGACAGTACAGGAATATTTTAATAAATAAATATAAAATAAATAACTAATATTTATTTTTCTTTCTTTCATAAAATTTATGTACCACTTGATTGTTAAAAAATACCCTAGCCCTCAGAATCATTTACAAAAAGAAAAAATCAATGGAATTTTCTGTAAAAACAGTTTAAAAAGCAATGGATTAAAACCTTAACAAGCAATTAAAATAATTCATGCATGTGTATATACATACATAATTTTATTTGTTTGCTGCCTTTCCATAGTTCAACGATCTTCAGGGTGCCTTACAAAATGAAAACAACAACAACGACATGGCAAAAGTTCTTAGCATCTGTCTGTCTCAAGAGACAATGGAGTGTGCCTCTGGGGGTGAAGTCAAACAACTTTGTTAGCAACACCGAAGAAACCTTCCTGAAGTGCAAGCCTGGACAAAGTGTATGGCGGTCCTGGGCTACCCAGATGATAAGAACCCACTCTCAGCCTCGCTGATGTGGTCCAAAGGATGGCAGAGCAATACTTTTGGCAAGAGTTTGGCTGCATGAGTTGCCAAATATCTTAGGGACTCCAGTCTGGATTTGTGAAGAGTTTACTCCTTAGCTTTTTCTTCTCTGCAAGGCAGCAGAGGTTTAGTTTTCCTTCTCCTAGATGGGCTACGTTCCCGGGTTGATGAGCCCTATCTGCCCCTCACTTCTGTCTATAGAATGTGCAGAAACCACCTTCTTGACCGTTTGACCCACAATTGGTCTCATCCACTCAACCCACCAGAGCCTGTCTTTGCATGCAAGGGAAATCCCTAACTCACCGAGTTACCCTCCCCTGGTTTAGCCGGCCAGTCAAAGTTGTTTCCCAGGCCAGTGTGGTGTAGTGGTTAAGAGCAGTGGACTCGTAATCTGGGTTTGATTCCCTGCTCCTTCACATGCAGCTGCTGGGTGACCTTGGGCTAGTCACACTTCTCTGAAGTCTCTCAGCCTCGCTCACCTTACAGAGTGTTGTTGTGGGGGAGGAAGGGAAAGGAGATTATTAGCCGCTTTGAGACTCCTTAGGGTAGTGATAAAGCGTGATATCAAGTCCAAACTCTTCTTCTTCTTCTAGTTGCATGCTGACAGCTTCTAGGAGCTACAGGTGAGAGCTGAGTGCAGGGTGGGGGCCAAAGGTGGACAAACTACCCCAGAAGGAGTATGGCATGTCCCCCACCAGAGGTACTACCCCTCTCCTAACACACCTTAACCGCATAAGAAAAGTAGTCATAGACGATAAATAAAACATAAAAAATGCAAACAATTTGAACAATTTGTGCATAAATCATAATCTAAAACAAAGGTATCCCAAAATAACAGCAATAGCAGCAACAGATCCCTAGACACAAAGCCCCCTAAACAAGACCCCAGCCCAATGGTCTGTTCAGTAGCCTTAGCTTTGTAGCTGGAGCCAGTCAGTTTATAAAGCAGCCACCTCCATAGGCCTCAAGGAAGATGTAATCTGCATCTGTCATCTAATATCAGAAAGTGTGGGGAAACAGCCATTTCTTCAGAAGGAGGGAAATCCACATCTGGGTGCCATAAGGCCTTGCTCCATGCAATAGAAGTAGGTTTACTGGTTGACTGCTCTAGAATTCCAGTTCAACCAGATCTTGAGATCTTTGGAGAAGGTTTTCTCCTTAGTCCAACTGCTGCAGAGAAGTTTGCTATGTGGTGATACGAGATAGAGCCTCCTCTGTGGTGGTCCCTCCATCTGTGGAATGCTCACTCCTCCCAGGTACAAGAGGCTCCATCAATGCTATTATTTCAGTGCATTGTTAAGATTCATTTATTTGCCCGGACATTTTAAGGTTTGTTTGGGCGAGGCTTTCACCTGGTCTGACAATTCTTACCTGCCCTCTTTGTCGGATACTGTATTCTAGCATGTATTGTTGCTTATTTTATTATGTGGAGGTTCTATCTTTATTTTTATTATCTGTGCCGTGCCCTGGTATCTGTGTAGAGGAAAGGTAGATTAGAAATATTTCAGAGAAATAAATAAAATAAAGTAAGAATAAGCTATATGGGACCTAGTGGGATTACTCTCGGAATAAATGTGCATTCTAGCACTGTAGGTGCTCTTAGGAGATAGATAGCACAGGGTTGGGGAACATCAGGCTTTGGTGCTACAGGTGCCCCATTTCACCCTACCTGGCCCTCAAGACTTTCTCTAGTCAACACCCCTTCTGAGGAGACACCAATCCTTCTTATCCCAAGCCACATCCATCACCACTGCTGTTCTGCTTCTATCCCAAGTGCTTTTGCCTAGCTGTGTTCATGCATTTTAGTTGCCTGTATGCAGAAGTGTGTGTGTTCACAAAAATCTCTTGTTAATTTTCTCTTAATGGCTGCCAGAATGCTTTTAACCCATCACACTGGAAGTACTTACAGAGGAAGCCTCTCCGGAGCGCTGGTATGCTAAAGTCTAGTTTCTGGCAATCTCAGGGAAAAATTAACTCCAAAAGTGTGCCTACTTAAGGGACAGATTAAAAGAGACACATTTTATTCCACATGGACAGCTTTTTATTGAGTACACAGCAAAACAAGACTTTATTCATAAAGTCTCAGCAAGATATGCTATTCAATAGAACCAGTAACTAGATGACACTTTCAGTTTTTATGAGCTGGGTGGTCTCTAGGGGAACTTTGAGGCTGAATAATACAGCGACCCTGTGCAACATTAAGAGAAGTTTATGAGTATCATTTAGATTTTTCCTTTCCTTTCTAGCTTTGTGCTTTTTTGCATTTTTTCTTACACTGATTTCACATTGTATTGCACAGAATGTATGTAAATACTTACTTCTTTATTTATTAAACCCTCTGAATGCTGTCTATTGCACAAAGGCAAGAACCACTTCTGGGCCTGCTCTCCATTGGTATGAGGCTCCTAAAAGCTTCCTTGTCCATTAATTTATTACCATATTGAGCTGATTATAAGCCACACTTCCCCCTCAAATCTAGCTTGTATAAAACCTGATTGTGGCCTCCAATAATGTTTTTTTTCAGGTAGAGAAGCCACAGTTTCAGAGACCTTGTTTTAGGGTGTGCAGCCTATATTAGGTATTGGCTGATATCTGGACCAATACAGAAATCAATTGATTAGATGTAGACCCTGCCTTTCTATTTCAATATCCAAGGCTTACATCAAAGCGATATAAAAACATGGCAACTAGCAGAAAACACAACCAGGGAAAGCACAGGAAAATAAGACCGTTTGTTAACCTGATACCAGAATCATAGAAGCATAGATTTGTAAAGTTGGAAGGGACCACAAGAATCATCTAGTCCAGCCCTGTGCAATGCAGGAATCTCAATTAAAGCATCCATGACAGATGGCCATCCAACCTGAAGGTGAACTCTTTTTGAAGCTGGTGTTTCACAACTAACCGAGAAAAGTTCTGACTCCTTGTAGCCCCTTACTTAACCTCTGATGACAACCTTAGTGAACCAGCATGTTTGAACTCAACAGCAGTTACTTCTGAGTAGTCAGGCATAGGATTGTGCCATGAATGATGCAGTTTCTCTACTGATTTTCTTTAACATCATAATTTTTTGTTTCTTAAGGGTTTTGATTAAATAGTTCTTGTTCCATGTCCTGCATGAATTAGTATTCTTTCTACAGAGACATCTTGCTGCCAGAGAGAAATTGTTAATGATACTGTTACTTCTGCTTTTAGGACGTAATGGCTTTTATAGCCATCATTATTATTGTATTTTTTGATAGACACATAAAAGACGCTGGATGGTGCCTTTCTGCCCTCCAAGTCCTTCTCTGCCCCCCCAACCCTCCCTTTGTGGTAGAAAAATGTGACTTTCTTGGGGCACCTAGCCGCCTCAGCTTTTAGGGCCAATCTGGTTTCTCGTAAACATCTCTTTTAGCATACGAGATGGTTTTTGCGAATCATAGGTCCTGATGGAGTGACACCAAAATCCTGACCGCAAAGCTTTCAGTGGTGCTCTTTGTGCCGCTGTTATATAGTTTTTTAAAAGGGCTC